GCTGGGGGATTGAACCGCAGTCCCTGTGCTTTGCTAAGCTTGCTTCTAAGTAGGTGCTTTAGACCACTGAGCCATCTCACCAGCCCCTAATTTGTTTTCTGTGTTCTTTAAAAATTCTTTTCTTCTCTTTCTTTCTTTCTTTCTCTCTCTCTCTCTCTCTCTCTCTAAACTATGAGCTAAATAAACATTTCTTCCTTTAAAAAAAAATTCTTTTTTGACAAGTTTACTTTCCTGTTATGAGTGAATGAGTATTTCTAAGAAGTTTCGAGTTTCAGAAAAGAGAAGTGCTGAGTATACAGCTGTCAGTGAGAGGCAGTGTTCGTTACCCTCACGGAACTCAAATCTGATGGGAATAACAGGAAAAGGCCCGATTACACATGGTGTTAAGTGGCACCAAGGGATAGCACAGGCTGTCAAAAGAATAACACGGTTAAATGATCAAGAAAGGTTTGGGAAAGAAATCCAGATACACAGTACGGCCTTTCTCTCTTCTGAGCCCCAGGGCTGCAGAGGCAGCGACTGCAGCTGAGCGAGCTGGCAGCTACGTAGCAGGAGTGAGAGCCTGGGTATGATCTCAAGCAACTCCAAAAACAGCACCCATCTCTAGACTGTGGCATCTAAATGCCCAACTGGTGTCTCCCCTGGCAGAGAGGATAATCTCCCCAGGCGTAGAACAGCACAGCCAGTAGCAGATCCAGGGCTCACCTTGCTGCTGCTCCTCCACACGTGCTGTTCTTTTAGGTCCCCTTGCTTGCTCCTATCACTTCTCTCACTCTTACCTCCAGTTCCTTCAATATTATTTCTTGGAACAATCTCTTCTTTCGAATCTGGTGCTACCACCCTAATTCAGTTTCCTTATCTGACTAGCAGGGATTAGCAGGGACAGAGGCCCGGTAATAGGGGATCCTCAGAGTAGTAGGAAGAGGAGGTGGAGGTAGTCAGTGAAAGCTTTTGAAAAACTAGGTGAAGACCAGAGTTCAAGGGACCTTAATCTGAAACATGTGGGGAGCTGAGCAGAAAAACACTTTAAAAAAGGCAATGGTCAAAAGTGTAAGAGAGGGCCAGGGAGATGGCTAAGGAGAATAAGCGCTTCCCTCGCAAGCACAAGGGCATAAATTCAATCCCCGGTTCCGCCAAAAAAAGAAAAAAGAAAGTGTAGGTGAAATGAAGATTTTTCTCAGGAATCTAAGCCCCAAACCACACACACAGGTAAAGTCACGCACCAGGGTGTCACACTCGGCGCAGTTCCGGTACTCTGCTTTCATCCTTCTTGCTACATCCGTGGCTGGAACGCCTTCCGAGGGAAGATAGGCCCGGCAATAGGGACAGGTCCACCTGCTGCTCTTTAGACTGGCGGCGATACAGGATCGGCAGAATCTACCCAGAGCCAAGCAAGAACACATCACTGTCAAGCAGGTGCAAAGGAGCCCCCTCCATGTTTGTGTAAGTAATTAGTGACACCTTGCACACTGTGACCCAGACTGCCAAATTACAGATCCACTTACCTCCTTTTTTCAAGTATTTATTTTTATGTATTTGGTACAGGGTCTCAATGTTATAGGCAGCTAAACAACTGGGAAATATGACAGGTAATCGGACAGGGCCAGGCCCTCAAGGACAATATGAAAAACAAGGTGACTTTGCAGCTTTGGAAGAGACAGACACTCCAGCTGCAGGCCACACCTCACACAAAAGAGGAAGCACAGCCACATACTTCCCTAGGGATGGGCATCAGGGATTGATATTCTAAGTAGGTATCAATCACCTTGAAAGAGCCCAAATGAGTCACTGACCCAAACCCCAACAGGAAGAGACCCTGTCCCATATTCATGCCCACTTGCTGTGTGACTTGCTTCCCCATTGGGCACTGGATTTAATCAATTTTACCTGAGCAATGGTGCTTGTAATCTCATTGGTTGACCATAGCTTTGTCCCGCCTCATGCCCACCTAAGCAAGTTCTCATGTTCTCCACCACCTCAGATCTGCCCCACCACATGGTTTTACATTATAAAAGTCTCCCGATTAGAGCCAGGGAGATAGCTCAATAGAATAAGCACTTGCCTGGCAAGCACATGAGCCTGAGTTCAATCCCCGGTTCCACAAAAAAAAAAAAAAGGTCTCTGATAGAGAAAGTTTCCTGGGGACAACCAGCTTAGTGGCCCCGTTTCTGTCCTCTCAGATTGAAGCTTTCTTCCCCCAGCAAATATATTCTACTCTTAACCTTTGTTTCTTCCTAAAATTCATTCTTCAGTTTTAGAGAACACAAACGCGTGCCAGGTACTTTTCAGGTTGGGAGTTTCATTTTTCCCCTATACAATCACTACACAGTTCCGACTTGTAGTGATCCTCCTGTCGCTGCCTCCCCAGTGCTGGGATTACAGGCATGCGCCACCACTCCCAGTTCCAGGCTGAAAAGGCCTGCGGTACCAGGGATCCAGCTTGGGTCCTTGAGCTTGCCAGGCAGATGCCTAGGACACTGCCCCCACCCCCAGCTATCTCCCCAGCCCAGGTCCACGGCTCACCTTTCCAGTTAAGACACATTCTCACACTTGTACCTGCACACATTTCAACAAAAACAAGGTAACAAAGCGGTAAGAGAGGATTATTACAAGCCCAGTTAAAATCGTAACTCAGCTGGGTGCAATAATATATGCTTGTAATTCCAGCTAGTGAGAAGGATGTGGCAGGAGGATCACAATTTAATGATTAGTGAGACCCTGTCTCAACAAAACAGTGGTAGAAGTGGGGGTGGGGGTGGGGACTGAGATGCAGCTCACTGGGAAGAACAGCTTGGAGCCCAGAATGGTGGTGGGCCATGCCTGTAAACACAGGGGCAGGGAAGATAGCTCAGTAAAATAAGCACTTGCCTGGTAAGCACAATGGTTTGAGTTCAATCCCAGGTTCCAC